GTGTATAAGAGACGGGAATAAAAAAATAAAATTTAATCTAAATGTTACATTAAATAAAAGTAAAGTTTAATTATTATAAGATTTGTAAGACATTGTTTAATTAAAATTTACAATAGTACTTACTTTGTTAAATTTTCCTTATTATTCTAGCAATGCCAAGTCTTTTAACAAATTTTTTTATACTGTTATAATGAAATTATTTTTTAATTAAAATTTTTATGATATTATGAAAGCTACAATTTGAGTTAAATCCACCCAATTACGTATAACCATGCCTTGGAACATTTATTACGGATTCGCAAATGCCTTGAGGCTGTGGACCTGAGTCGCGAACGGCTCAGCAATGCACTCTTATACGATCGATTTGTCACTTAGACTCGCGAGATCTGACGTCGGCGTCCGATAATCCCCGTCGCTAACGAATGCAAGAAAATCGCCCCGTTCTCTACTGCGCTTGCCACTCGCCCCACCGTTCGAGAACCATCCTTATCGGTGCGGTCTGTTACGTATCGCGACGCGCGCAACGACGTCGTACGTCATCGATGGGTTCTCGTTTAACAGAGTACCGTTTATAACAGAGTAAATTAACAGAATACTTTTGTCCCTGGTCTCTCCTATCCGATCGAGCCGTGTAACTTTTGCCACGGGGCCTCAAATGAATTCGCCTTCCGATTTGTCAGAGGTTCATTCGTTCCTAGGTATTAATGACACATAATATTTTCAAAGCGTTATTTTCTCTCTCTTTATATATATCTATATTATATGTATACAGGGTCCCAGAAAGATCGTATGGCCTTTCACTGGCAGATTCTAAAGAGCATTCTAAGACGAAAACTCTTATACGAAAATGTCAAAGCTATAATACCTTTCAAATTATAAACGATTAAAGTTATCCTTTTACGGCTGAAATTCGCGCGCTCTGGCATGGTACATTGCGCGCACGATTGCAAAAATGTGCATCGATTTTACTCAATTAAAATAAATTATATATATAACGAATACTGTGATATGTTATTTATTAATTACTTATGGCAAATTTGTTGTGAAGAAAGATCGGTTGGTCTGATTATCATTAATACCAATTAATACCATTTCTCTTATCTTACTTTTATTCATTGATATTTTATAATATTATACTGATATTAAAAATATTCATAAATAAACGAGACAAAGCTTAAAAGCGATTTCTTTGTCATT